CTAGGGCCTGGGCTCCGCCTAGACGCGGCTGCTCCCGGCCCGTCCCACACAGCCACCGCCAGTGCGGCGGCTGGCAGTGAGCCCGGCGGCCCTGCCCGGGGTGGGCAGCAGAACGCCCTGGCTTCCTTAGGGGAAAGGGCCCCCCACCTGGTCGGTTTGCAGTAAAGGCAGACACCTGAGCTGCAGCAGAGGCCACTGCCCCTCGCAGCCCCTGCTCGAAGCCCCGGAGCTGCGCCCGGGTCGCCTGCACATGGCCGGCGGCTGGGAGCGCGCTTGTGGGTGGAGGAACCCTAGGTCCGGAGTGTGTCCCCAGGACACGCAGCACAAAGCAGGGCAAGCCGGGACCCGGTGGGCGGGGCCCGGTGGGCGGGGCCGTCACGCCCGCAGTTCCCGGGCTGGGCGCGCGAGGGCGCTGCGCGGACACGGGCGAGACGGAGTTTCTGGCCTATTGGCGCTTGGATCTTGGGGTGGAGGGTTTGGGTGTCCAGGTCTTGGTAGGGAAAGTAGCTGGCTCTGGGCAAATCAAGAAATTGAAAAGGGAAACTAGTATTTACTGGGTATCACACACCGTGCCAGGCAGATAGGAAGGTCATTGTGTAGGTAAGAAAATTGAGGCACCAAAAGAAAGCTACTAGTCCGTGGAAACACGCAGTGTCGGAGAACAGTTAATACCCACCTTGCTGGCCCTCCCCAGGCCCCGGAGGCTCCTCCCTACATGACCAGGGTCCCTGCTCCCCGGAAGGTACCGTAAGAGAAGTCTCACTCAAAAGTCATATTTTTTAAAAAAGATTTATTTACGCATATATGAACTGGGGTGCAGGCCAGAGGTGTGCGGGGGGGTGTGATTGGGGGCTGAGAGGATTCACTGGAGGCAGTGGGGAGCAGAACAGGCAGATGAGCAGGGGTGGGAGTCAAGAGAGGGCTGCCACCACGTGGTCACCTCCCTGGTGGGGAATCAAACTCGCGCTGCAGTGGCTGCAATAATAGCCTCATAGTGCTGTGCTTTGACCCACTGTGCCACCAGGAAGGGCCCATTTCTTGCCTTTTTTAAAAGGAATTTTCAGACACAAAAGTCGGATTGCATGGCGAATCCCATGTACCACTATCTAGCTTCACCAGTCAACATTCACTCTTTCTAATCTTGGCCATTACGTTAAACCAGACCCTAGGCATTGTACTATTTCATTTATAAATACTTCAGTATCAAAGAGGTAAGACCTCTCTTGAAAAACAGTATTATCACTTCTAAAAAGATTGACTCTACTCAGTTGAGATTCAGATTGCCCTGTTGTTTTGTTCTACAGTTATTCAGATTGGAACCCAAAGTCTACAAGATTTATTTTGTTGGCAGGTTTTTCTTTAACAGAGAACTAAACCATCTCTGAACTAAGGAGGCAATATTTTGCACACAGAACTAAGAAGCTAAAGCCACTTCAGCATGAGTTTGATCCCCAGCCCTGGAGGTGACCCACATGGCACAGCAGACCTCTTCTGACCCCCCCCCCCCCCTGCTCCCCCTCAGCAGTGTACTTTGTTGATCTGCCTGTTTTGCTCCCCACTCTGTCTCTGGTGAATCCTCTCATCGCACCTGTGTCTCTGGCCTGTACCCCAATTCTGTATGCAAATATATATAAATCTTAAAAAAAAAAGAAAGTTCCTGTAATCATGGATAGCTCTGTTCCTTACTCTTTATGGCTGGTTGTGGGTCAGAGGCACAGGAAGATAAGTAGAATGTTTTTTAGGTGTGGCCCTGTGTTACTGGATGAACTAGAAGGCAAGGAGACAATTTGATACTTACCTCTTATAAATCTCCATCCTCTTAAATCTGTTCCATCTCTTCTGTAAGACTCAGATCTTCCTAAATTTGCTATCGACTTTGTTTCCCAAAGATCTTATAGCAATTTCAAAGATTGCAGGAAATGAGCACTCAGATAATGTTTACTCTGTACCCTTGCTGTGTCTGCCCCGGCAATGTCTACATCACCCGGGAATTGGTGAGACAAGCACACTCTCTGGGCATCGCCAGGTCCCTGAGTCAGAAGTTGGAGTTTAACAAGATCCCTGGGGGATTCACATTGTTTAGGGTCAGCCACTTTCAGGGGTGTCACTTTGATTCTTCTGATTAATTGTGTCATGCAAAGGCAGGATGGACACACAGACATACACACAGAAAGAATGAAAGAGAGAGAAGGTAAAAAGTTCTTTCTCCTTGGGGAGGAAGCCAAGTAGGTGTTGCTAGAGTCAGTCTTCAGTCATCCAAAAGTCTCACCTCCAAGGCTGCCTGGCCCAAAGGTGGACCCCTGGCTAGTGACAGAGAACCAATTGTGTTAGCATTGTGTGTGAATGGGGGTGTGTTTGTGTGCATATATGCATCCTGATCTCTCTTGTCAGGAGAAGTTACAGGGCCCCTGTGACATGATGGGCCAGGCATCCTCCTTACTTGGGAGGGGGAAACATAAATAAATGAGTTTCTAATTTATAGAGGCACACGGAAAACCATTATTGGCCTTAACATTTTTGACTGATATAAAATGCTTCATGGCATTCCATGGTGGCGCAGCAGGTTAAAGCACAGCACTGAGAAGCTAAAGCCACTTCTGCATGAGTTCCATTCCCGCCTGCCCCGGAGGTGACCACATGGCGTGGCAGACCTCTCCTGGCCACCCGCTGCTCCCCTCAGCAGTGTACTTCGTCGATCTGCCTGTTCTGCTCCCCGCTCTGTCTCTGACGAAGCCTCTTGCTGCGCGGCCTTGAGCCTTTGGCCTGTACCCCAATTCTGTATGCACAAATAAATATTTTTTTTAAAAATGCTTCATTATATTTGTCTTATTTTTGGAGAAAGACAAAGAAAAGATGGTTGGAGCAAGGACCATAGGCTCACCTGTGGAAACTTAATTGGGGCAAAGGCCTCATTTAAAATTTAAATCTATGTGTCTGCTGTGTGTGATTATCATCACAGCTCTCCTCTTTAATATTTACTGAGGTTCAAGAGAAGAGTTTCTCCCAGAAATGTAATGCTTTAACTATAAGGATTTTCTTTACTTTCCCAGGAATGTAACCTTTTACCTGGAGGAGTTAAAGGATGCATTTGGTATCAGCTTTTGGGATTTGTTCTCCTAAGGTACAAATACACTTTCTAGATCTGGATGCTAAACTCACCCACCTGCTGGAACGGAAGTCTCCAGACCGAAGTTAGCTCACCCTCCACATGGGCCATGCAATTTCATACTCAACAGAGCAGTGGACTGGTTCGCTTCTCCATCTGTGAAAAATCTCAGTTGTTTCTGACAGTTGTGAACCAAGCACAGCTTGAGGTTTGATTCTTTAGCAGCTGACTGGACAGAGACGCCTCGAGCAGGGATTGGGGGTGGGGGGGTGTCCCTGTGCTCCATGCTCAGGTAGATACTGATTTATTGTGGCAGGGACATAGGGATGATGGTTCTGATTCCATTTGTCCCCACCTGTCACCTGTTCCCACAATGGCACCATCTAGAGCCTCAGGGGATCACCCCAAGGCCCTCCCATCTCCCAAATCTTTAGTGTGCCGGGA